TGTTGCTACACTGCACCTTGAGTGGCTCATCTCCTCCCCACAACCCTTCCATAAGGGGATGTCCACTTGCCTACACATGGGATTTAGGTTCCCACTCCACACTCCCCCTCATTCACAATGATATGATTTTTTTGGTCTTTGAAGCCTGATACCTCATCGCTTTGGCACCTCATGATCACACAGGCTAGTGTGCTTCTTCTATGTGGGCTTTGTTGCTTCTGAGCCAGATGACCGCTTGTTTACCTTCAAGCCTTTAAGACCCCAGACACTATGTTTTTTTTGTTTGCCGGGCACCATCAGCTTTCTTCACCACATTAGCTTATGCACCCGCTTTGTCTTCTGCGATCGTGTCGGGAAGGTGAGCATCATGGAATGCCAGGTTAATAGAACAAAGTGTTCTTGCATTGAGGGAGTACTTGAATGGATGCCCAATGTCCATCTGCTACCTTAATACTATACCTATAAATATATGCACATAAATCTATTTCCCCATCCTCATATATAAACATATTTACGTATGTACATGCCTTTATTTAGACCTCTATAAATGTCCTTTGCCTCCTAGCTCTTTCCTCTATTTCCTTTGACTTTCCTCTTGTCCCACTATCATCTCAGCCTTCATTTGGGTAACAGTAATTCCTCTCAGTTATATTACCCTTGATCACGCCCTACCAGGCCTCCTACACCCTCCTGACCACCGATTTGGATCACTTGTTGTTCCCTGTCCCTAGGTTTGTTAACACCACTTCCTTTCCCCCCACTTCTCCCAGGAACTGTCAGTCCCGTTGTTTACTCCTCCAGATTGTTCATCCAGCCTCTTATTTAAACAGACCTGCAGAGATAATAACATGCACAAAAACAAGACAGAGCAAAACCAAGCAACAAAAGAAAACGAAACAACAACAAAAAGCAAATCAAAACGAAACAACAAAAAGCAAATCAAAACAAAACAAAACAAAACAACCCACAACAACAAGTAACAAAGAAAAGCTTATAGTTAGTTCAAGTACTGTTTGTTGGCCTTTAGGAGTATTTTCCGGTTGAGTCTGATGGGGTGCCAAGCCCTGGCACCAAAGTCTATTTTTGGTATTCCCTGTGGACTTCATTGCTCTGTTCTCCTTGCTGTTTTGTTGCACGCCCTTAGGGTTTTGCCTCAGTGTGGTGGGATCAGATCAGGTGCAATTCCCACACTGTGTCTCCAGTGTTGTCCCCTGTAGGGCTATGGGTCAGTGAGGGATGTGCATGCCTCATAGTGGGGCCGGCCATATGGTCTTCTCTGTGGATTGGATGATCTGAGTGGGAATATCGTCGTCAAGGCTTGGTGGGCAAGGATGTGCTCCACTCTCTCTTCCTCCCCCTTCATTTGCTCCCTTGTGCTCTGATCAGATATGTCCCTCTCCCTGAGCTGCAGTTTCAGTGCTGTCCTCTGAAATAAATTCTTCTGTGGGGAGGTGTCCATGTAGTTGGGTATGGTTGCGACTTTACTGTAATCTTTACTTATAATCTTTACTGTATCTTTACTTATAATCGCTGTACAGTTGCGCCTACCGGATCTGTGATTTGTTGCCCCACCCCTTCCAACCCCAAATGGCGCCCATCGCTTGGTGATACGAGTTATACCTCTTGTAACAATTGTACAGCCCCACCGGAATGTAGACTAAATCGGTAAATTGTGTTTAGTAAGGATCCGGTGTGGGGATTAGCAGATAAATAGTGGAAATAGTGATTGAGTATTTTAAAGAGAACAATGGGGCAAGGTAAAAGCAAACCTGAAACTTACGGTACCAAGTTCATCCACTTGCTGAAAAAACAGGGTGTAAAAATAACGAAGAAAAAGATGAAATGTTTTCTAAAAGTAGTAAAAAGGTATAATCCATGGTTCCCAGAGGAAGGAACTTTTGATCTAGAGACTTGGGAGGAAGTCACTGTAAACTTAAAGAAAGCACACAGAGATGGGGAGAATATCCCTATTGAGACATGGTCTCTGTGGGTTCAAGTTAAGACGGTCTTAGTACTTTTGCAGGAGGAAAAGAATGAGGATTATCACTGTAGTGAGAAGTCTTGTGTCTATCTTAATTTAGAAAAGCAAGCTAATGTGTCTGTGAATGAGTATAATTTAGGAGAGGAAACTTTAGGAAAAACTGAAGAAGCAGGGATTGATTTGTTATTTAAGGTCTTCCATTCTAATGGAAACCTCATATGCCCTCGGGGGACTGCAGCCTCCAAAGGTCTAAAGGTGATAAAGCACTAGAGAACGTGAATTCCAAGACCCAAAGCAAGGCTATTAAACAATCCCAAGAAGCTCCCTTGCTTTCAAAGGCAGGGAAAGCAAAGAAACAAGACCAGCAAAGTAGTAAGAAACATCTAAGCTATGCAAATTTAAATCAGGTGAGTGGCAGGCAGAATGGGTATCAGGCAGA